CGGGATCGGGCAGTGTTTCGTTCTGCTGTGCATGGGGTCGCTATGAGTCGGAAACGACTCGACGGCACTTAACAACAACAACAACAACAGTCTCTGCAACACCTCCATAAGCCAGCAGAGGCATCCAGCTTGCCAACTAACCTGCAAATGTTGGGTTTGTCAGTCCTTGCAACCACATAGGCCAGTAGAGGTCTTCAGAATGCTGCCTAAACTATGGATGTGGGACTCGCCAACTGGTAGTGTAGTACCCAAGGCATTTGACTGCTAACCAGAGGCTGGTGATTCAAACCCACCAACCACTGGTCGGAAGGAAGGTTGGACAATCTACGTGATACCATCTCGGAAACCCAAGGAGGGGTCGCTATGAGTCAGGTCCGACTCAATGGTACATAACAACAACAAAAAAGATTGTGTAAGTCATTTCCTTAGGGGAAAAAGTACATATGTGTGTGTGTGTGTGTGTGTGTGTATAAAAGAGGAATTTCTAAAGTGAGAGAGACAAAAAGATGACTATAGGAATGGAAATTAAGGCTGTTAGGAATGATTTTTGACAAATAAGTGTGACTTCCTTTCCTATCTCTTCCCAAGATATAAATCCTTTAGGGGGATATTGTGTGTAAAAGAGACTCCCCTTCCTTGAGATGGCTTTTGGTTGAGTAAGTTTTTCTTTTCAGAGGACTGCCCTCTCCATCAACATCCAAAGATAACCATCTGAATAATTTTTTCATCTCCACTTTAGTTTTGCCACCACACTCTGCCAGGGTTAACTACCTAGTGGGGAGACCTATGTTGTACCTTTTTCTGTCCCAACCTTGAAAGAATGTATGTGAAGCTGATGTCATATCACTTGCAATTACTCAAGAGCCATCTCTAAAGTGCTGAAATCAGGAGTGTAAGCTCTGGCCCTAAGAGACAGACCCATGACCTAAATACCTCACCACGTCAGTCGGTAAAGCTGAGCAGACTCAAATCACAATATCTGGGTATGGGTGCCAGGAACCTGCATATTTAATAAACTCCCTGAGTGAGTTTAATTCAGGTAGTATACAGGCCATATTTTGAAAACTACTGATAGACAGCTTTAGCTCATTCCCCACCCGCCTTGGATGTTTGTTGTTTAGAATGCTTTTATTATAAATAAAGACAAAATCCTAGTGTCTTCTGCCCCTTCATGGATTGATTGATTGATTGGCTGTTTGGAAAAAGAATGATTCCTAATTGTGTGGCTGTCCAGTACAGTGCCTTCACAAACTTTCATGTGTATACAACTCATCAGGGACCCTTGCTGAACAGCAGATTCGGATTTAGTAAGTCTGGACCTGGCTGGCCCTGAGATTCTGCATTTCTAACAAGCTCTTTACGATACCACAACTACCAACCTATAGACCACACTTTGAGATCCAAGAGCCTAGTACTATTTGAATTCACTAGAAAACTGCCTATTTTACTTTAAACTGGCTTGTTTAATATATATATATATATTTTTAAAAAATGAAACTCACTGCCATTGAGTTGTGTCCGACTCCTAACAACCCCCATTGGGTTTCTGAGGCTGTATATCTTTACAGAAGTTGATCACCCCATCTTCCTGCCACAGAACAGCTGGTGGGTTTGAACTGCTGACCTACCATTTAGCAGTCAAGTGCCTTATCCACTATAAAATGCAAAGCCTTAACTACACTGAAAGATATTACAAGGGCTTTACACTCTATTTATTCCAAATATAATATTATTTTTTTTTCTCTTGTGAACTACATTTTTGCTTATTAATGTTAATGCAGTATTTTAAGTCTTTAAAATTAGAAACTTCAAAAGAAGGAGTTGGTGAAGTTAACTGCATACATTTTTTTAAGGAGAAAATTCATATATTTACCATAGTCCTCAGGGCGGAGACAAGCTCCAAAGGTGTGGTCTGGGGGAACATTCATTGTTTCTGCAATGCTATCAAAGAAAACAAACCCTTTAGTTAAAAATGCACCACAGGGCATCACTAGATTTTAAAATATGTTTGCCATAAGATTTTAACAGCCTACATTTTCTGCTATAGTCAGACTATGGAGATCAACAAAATGTTCTCCAACAGATCTGTGTGATCTTCCACTTGGATTAACAATGGCTGAATGCATTCACGAGTTTTCAGTAGCCCAGACTTAAAAAGAGAAAAATAAATCAAAACACTTTCAACACTACTGAAGGATGACAAATAGACTTAAACATGTGTGTGTGTGTGTGTGTATGAAAGAGAGAGAAAGAAAAACACAGCAAGTTAAATTTCTGATATCACAGAAATCAATCTTTGCAAATCATTTACCCGCCCCCCTCCTCCAAATGTCCTCTTCATCGTGGAGGGATAATCCATTTTCCTAGAACTCTAAGCTCTATAGCAGCTAATTGAGTTAGACTGATTAACAGCAAATGAATTATCTTCTTATTTAATAGACAGAAGTTAATAGAACTTAAACCAACATTTACCACAAGAATACTTTTTTTAACTCAATGAAACAATTACAAATTTGAAGTTAATCATCAACTTACGGATCTAAAACCCTTCCAAGTTTATGTTGAAACTTTTCTTTGAAATCATCAACTCTCTTGGATACAACCTTAGCTCCTCTTTTCCTGTAAAATTAGAATATTGTTAGGCACTTCTATTAAGTAAAGTATTCCTGGCTGCCAAATATACATGTGGTGAGGAATACCATAATATCATTTGTGCCTTCAAAGAAGAAATCCAGAAAACTAATCCATACAAAAGAAAGTGTATGCTGAAAAGAAAATTTTCTGTGTTCATGTATCTATCATTTCTAGCCTACTTTAAAAAAATAGCTTTTATTAAAGAATAAGGCAAATAGAAAAAAAGCAGTAAATTAGAAAAAAGCAATAGTACTGTAAATCCTATTGCTAAAAGAAAATTAAACATAAAATAGATAAATAACTAAAGATATAAACTGATAACTCATATCTAGTAAGCAAATATATGGAGAAATTATACTACTCTCTAGTAATAAAATAAATATAAGATAAAGTTGTTGTTGTTATGTGCCGTTGAGTTGGCCCCAACTCATAGTGACCCCTCCTTAGATTTCCGAGATGGTATCACTATGGAAGTAGATTGCCCAACCTTCCTTTCGAGGAGTGGCTGGTGGGTTTGAACTTCCAGCCTTCTGGTTAGCAAGAAGCTTCAGACAAGCAAATTTGGGTAGGTACTGACAGCTAGATACATAGATAGATAAAGGCATATCTCATTTTATTAAGCTTCATTTTTTTGTGCTTTGCAAATACTGTGTTTTTTACTAATCAAAGGTTTGTGGCGACCCTGAGTCGAGCAAGTCTATTAGTGCCATTTTTCCAACAGCATGTTCTCACTTTGTGTCTCTGTATTACACTTTGGTAATTCTCACAATATTTCAAACTTTTAAATAATGCTAATGTACATTTGACAGACTGCATGCAGTATAGTGTAAACATAACATTTATATTCATTGGAAACCAAAAAAAAATTATGTGACTCATTTTATTGCTATATTATCTTTATTGTGCTGGCCTGGAACCAAACCGGAATATTTCTGAGGTATACGTGTACATACATACATAGATACACAGAATACCCAATACTGGAAGAAAGTATGGTAAAACACTTGCAGGTTGCTATTACAAATTGTTACAATCCTTTGGGGAATAATTTGGCAATATGAATCAAAAAGCAAAAAAAGAAAAAAAAATCATGCCTTTTTATCATTTGGAGATAATCCACATTCATAATGTGGAAAAGTGTTGTGTATAAAAGTGTTTGTAGACTCATTGACTACAAGGAAAAAGAAAATCATCTAAATATCTAATCATTGGTTCATTAAATTATATCACATACATTCTTGCTTGCATTTTAAAGATTATGAAGGAAGTACATAATATAAAATTATGTTAAGTGAAAAAGCAAGATATAAAATGGTATTCCACTCTTGTTAAACTATGCAAAAATAAATATAGAAAAAAAGATACGAGAAAGAGATACATTAAAATGTTAATGGTTGAAGTAAGGTGATGGGATTATGAGTGATTTTATTTTAATAATTGTAATATAATTTTGTTACTTCTATTACTATGATTAAATGAATAAAATGTCTTTTTAAAACTATAAAATTACAACACTACTATTTAGTAACATTAAAATTAATAAAGTCTCTATTGTTTTGCTAAGAATAAAAACAATGAACATTAGATTCTTAAATCCTATTTGCTTTTAAAATAATTTCCTGTATTATAGAAATATTATCAAGCTGAATAAATTACTGGAGAAGAGTGACACTCTGTGGAGAAACAAAAGATTAAATATAAAGAAATTCATCTTTCATTTTTTTATGTCCCTCCTCTTTGTTAGAAAAGAAAAAAAAGGACAAAGTAAAGTCTGAATAAGGCAATGGCAGTTTATTGGCCATTGTTTGAAAAAACAGTGTCAACAATCTAAAATTAGGCCCAAGGTATATAATTAAGGAACATGCAGGGGTGATAATGGTAAGGACTGTTAAGTCACAGAGCAGCCTCTTTTTAAGATGAAAGGACCTGGATTACACTCCTGAGAGAATCAGAAAGTATTTGAGGGTAGCCATGTATGTTGGAATACTGGTAACTGCAACATCACTGCACAATATCACATTGTTGGTTAACCAACTCAGAAAAAAGTTCTTTATGTGCCAGTGAATACATTCATTCATTCACTCACACGTACACACAACACACACACACATACATACACATTGTCATGCGAGGCTCAAACTGACCCTTCAAACCAAAGGGTCATAAAGATTATATAATTTTACAGAGGATAATGTTGTTGTTGTTGTTATTTGCTGTCGAGTCGGCCCCGACTCATAGCGACCCCTCCTTGGGTTTCCGAGGCAGTATCTCTGGAAGTAGGATTTCCCAACCTTCCTTCCTGAGGAGTGGCTGGTGTGTTTGAACCACCAGCCTTCTGGTTAGCAGTCAATGCCTTAGGCACTATGCTAATATGCTCCTTAAAACTTGAGAATAAACCAAATTATATTAAAATGTTGTTGTTGTTGTTGTTATTGTTGTTATGTGCTGTTGGGTCGTCTCCGACTCATAGCAACCCCTCCTTGGGTTTCCGAGGCAGTATCACTATGGAAGTAGATCACCCAATCTTCCTTCTGAGGAGTGGCTGGTGGATTTGAACCGCCAACCTTCTGGTTAGCAGTCAAATGCCTTAGGCATTACTCCACCAGAGCTCTCTATATTAAAATAGTGCACATAAAATTGGAGTTGGCTAAAACCGAAACAAACATGACTATAAGTTTATAATTGAATTCACACTGACAAATAGAATAGTGAACTTTTATTAGAACCACACAACGAAAGAAATAAAGAATATTCTGCTAATTTATCTAGAATAGTCCAATTAACTTTCAAAACACACACAAAAAAATATGATTAGAAAAATACTGTTGCATAAGCAATGTTCCCTTGATTATTTTAAGGATAGCAGGATATCTGGATTTTTATGAGTAATTTCCTAATGTACAATATAAAATGTTGTTGTTGTTGTTACGTGCCGTCGAGTCAAATCCGAGTCATAGCGACCCCTCCTTGGGTTTCCGAGGAAGTATCACTACGGAAGTAGGATTGCCCAACCTTCCTTCCGAGACAATATAAAATATAACATGGGAAAAAGAGAAAAAAGAAAAAACAACTAAGGGACGTCATTTTAATTTTCTAGGGAAGTTACTGGAGACGTTGTTAGATGCTATAAATCAGTTCCAACTCATAATGACTCTATGTACAACAAAACGAAACACTGCCAGGTCCTGTGCCGCCCTCACAATTGTTCCTACGTTTGAGCCTTTCGTTGCAGCCACTGTGCTGATCCATTTCATTAAAGGTCTTCCTCTTTCTCACTGACCCGCTACTTTTTCAAGCATGATGTCCTTTTCTCTAAGGACCAGTCTCTCCTGATATATGTCCAAAGTATATTAGATGAAATCTCATCATCCTCCCTTTTAAGGAGCATTCTAGTTTTACTACTTCCAAGATAGATTTGTTTGTTTTTCTAACATTCATGGTATATTCAATATTCTTCACCAACACCATAATTCAAATGCATCAATTCTTCTTTGTTTGTTCTTATTCATTGTCCAGCTTTCACATGCATCTGGGTGATTGAAAATACCATGGCTTAGGTCAGGTCCACCTTAGTTCTCAAAGTGATATCTTTTTTAAAAAACACTTCAAAGAGATCTTTTGCAGCAGATTTGCCAATGCAATACACTGTTTGATCTGACTGCTGCTTCCATGGGCATTGATTGGGGATCCAAGTAAAATGAAATCCTAGACAACTTCAATATATTCTCTATTTATCATGATGTTGCTTATTGGTCAAGTTGCAAGGATTTTTGTTTTCTTTATCTTCATAAGTAATCCACAGTGAAGACTGTAGTCTATGATCTTCATTAGTAAGTTCTTCAAGTTACCTTCACTTTTGGTAAGCAAGGTTGTATCATCTGCATATTGCAGGTCATTAATGAATTTTCTTTCAATTCTAATGCCACATTTTCTTCTGCATAAAGTCCATCTTCTCAGATTATTTGTTCAGCATTCAGATTGAATGAGTATGGTGAAAGGGTACAACCCTGACACATACCTTTCCTGATTTAAAACCATTTATTATCCCCTTGTCTGTTCGAATGACAGCCTCTTGGTCTACACACAGGATCCTCATGAGCACAATTAAGTGTTGTGGAATTCCCCTTCTTCACAATTTTATGCATAATTTGTTATCATCCACACAGTGGAATGTCTTTGCACAGTCAATAAAACAGAGGTAAACATCTTACCGTTATTCCTTGCAGTTAGGCAAGATTCATCTGACATTAGCATGATATCCCTCATTCCATGTTCTCTTCTGAATCCATCTTGAATTTCTGGCAGTTTCCTGTCAATGTACTGCTGCAACCATTTTTAATTGTTTCTAGGGAAATTTTCTAGGAAAGCAGTCATATAGATAATGAAGGCATTAAAAAGATCAGTTTGCAGGAGGTAAGTTAGATGCTCAAGTGCCCAAATAACTATTAAATAAAGCTCAATAATAAATGTTAGGTAAATTCTATGTGATGTAATAGACTTTGTAAAGATTTAAAAGCTTATTTTCTTCAAGATACACAAATAGAGTTAATCCTATAGATTTAAAAACACAAAAATATGCTTTATATTTGCTTGGAAAGGCATGGCATGAAGTAACTTTAGAATGATAGCACACACACACACAAAAAAAAAAAAAAAAAAAAAAACCAGCATCATAATTATTGTGGGAATGGAATAGAATGAGGATAAGGGGAAGACATTTTACTGTATGCCTTTATCTATTCATTTTATGTTTTAACTACATCAATATACTACACCTTTAAAAATAAAATTTAAAAATCAACTTTTTTTTAAAGTCCACATGTGACATATCTAACACTTGTTCCAGGACACAATATAATTAAACTTACATTTGTAGTTCATGGAGCCAATATAAAGTTTTTGCCATGGTTCGTCCATCATTAAAATGTGGTGTTGGGACTCCATACATATTAAACCTATTGAAATTTGATGAGTTATACTTTCTGTTCTTTGCTTCTCCTGTAATAAAGAAGAAAGAAAAAAAAAAAAAAAGACGTCTGATTTAAGGAACACAAACAGCTCTATCTTGCAAGAAGCACATCATGTTATCACTGACATTGAAAATGTGGGTCAGAAAAAGAATGAATATGTAAAAGAATGGGGAATCACACAAATTTGGCTAGTCATGACAGACCCATTCCCCATATGAGTTGAATCATGCATAGGATCCTGCACACAAGAGTTCCTTACTTTACAACTGGGAAACTAAGTAGGGAAATGATGTAAGAGAAGATATTAATGAGGAGAAGTACAGGCCACTGTTACAGAAATCTTGACATTCAGGAGGTGCGTTGCAATGCTCTGGAAGTCCAGCAGTCCTTTCCTATGCTAAGATTGAGACAGTGGACTTTTGTAGTTTCTCTTACTGAGATTAGGTGAGATCATCAGAACACTGCAACCTTCATACTTCAATGTAATCAGCAATCTCATACCAGAAACATTCAAGCAGTGATTTAGGGCTGAGAGCCTAACAGAGAGGTCTTTATATTTAAGCTCTGACCCTGAGTTGTTTTTTTTTTTTTTTCTTTTCAAATCATACTGTGATGTTTGTTTCTCATTTCTAAATAAAAAAGAAGGTAGGACTGTAACTAGAGAACAGCTGAGACAGTAAGAAATGGAGACAAGATCTCCAGCCTAATTAGTAACACAAATATTGAAAATAAAAACAATAATGAGAAATCATAATTTACTTCACAGTTAAGCAAGAATAAAGAAGATGGGCAAAATTCAGTACAGAGAGGGTGTGGGAAAATGGAAATTCATATACACTCTGTGTGCAAGGAAAGCACTTGGCTGCTAATTGAACCAACTGGCTGCTCCATGGGACAAAGATGTTGTACTCTACTTCCATAAAGAGCGAAGACAAGGAAACCCTAAGGGGAAGTTCTACTCTGTCCTATGGAGTTGCTATAAATTGAACTTGACTCCACAGCAATGGGATTGAGGCTGACAGTTTGGCTCTAAGAGTGAAAATTTCATTTGATCAGAAGCCTTGGAATGTATTCTAAAGAAATAACAGATCACATTCACAGTGACACATAAACAATATGTACTTTGTAATAGGGTAAAATATAATAAAATATTGAGAAGAAGACATAACTGTGTGTATGTGTGCATGGTAGGTGCTGTTGAGTTTATTTCAATTCATAATGACCCCATACTATAAAGTAGAACTGACCCGTAGGATTTCTCAGGCTATAATCTTTCCAGAGGCAGATTGCCAGGTCTTTCTCCTGCACAGCAGCTATGTGGGTTTAAACAGCCATAAGATTAGCAGTCAAGCACTTAAACTTTTATGCCACCAGAGCTCCTTGATAATATATCTGTTGACTTCTGGCAAGATGGTGGAATAGGCAGACAAGCTACACAGACCCTCTATAACAAAGAAACAAGAAACCAATTGAAACAGATACAAAAGATAATCCTGGAACTCTGAGTTTTGAAGAGAAGAATGAAGAAGTGGATTAAATACTAACTAGTGGAAGAACCTGAATGAAAACAGTGAATAAGGAGATAAATGGATCTGTGGACTGTTGGCTGTCCTGGTGGCATGGACAATTTGAATATTTACAATTGGTGTGCTGATCTGGGCAGCAAACTGAGAAACAGCTATGCTTGCCAAGAACTATGTGGTCTACTGCACTGGAGACTGATTAGAAAGGAAAATAGCAATAATAATAATAATAAGACAAACAGAACTTTGGACTGTTGGCTATTCTGAGGGTACAGTCATTTTGAATATTTGCAAGTGGCATTCTGATCCAAGCAGCAACCTAAGAATAGGCCATGCTTGCCAAAAACAGCCCACACAACTGCACTGGAGGCTTAAGAATAGACAGCAACCACAGTCAAACAGCCCAACCATATCTGCAATTGCTTTAGTCCCACCCATCAGATGAGAACCACCACTTGCTTCTGCACCAATTGATCAAGGATAGATAGCACCCAATACCAACCCAACCCACCCTCAACTGCTTTTCAAAGCTACCACAGACCTATGCAAATACTCTCATCATCTATTAGATACACCAGCAGATGGGTGCTGAATATCTAAGTGCTGCCAAACTAGCAACTATAGCAATAATAGAAATACAACAACAACAATAAACTTGACCATCCAAGTCCACACAAAGAAGAAAGATAAAGTAGCACAAACAAGGGAGAAGAATACAAACCCAGAAAACATCCCCGAGGAAGAAGCAGTATTGGAACTACCTGATAAGGAATTCAAAAGAATTATAATTACGTACCTTCAATGGACTGAGAGATTGATCAAATAAAACCCTGAAAAAAATAAGGAAAAGACAGACAAAACTCTAGAACAATTTAGGGAAACAGTACAAGAACAAACTGACAAATGAAAAATTACAAACCATACAAAAACATCAAATAGAAATCCCAAAGATTAATAATAAGATTTCTGAAATAGGTAACATATTGAATGGGCAAAGGAGTAGAATCAAATCAATGGATGACAGAATTAGTGAGATAGAAGACAAATAACTATTTTGTTAAGAGATCAATAAGAAAAATGATCAAAACAAAATAAAGACAGTCTAAGATTCATGTGGGATACCATCAAGAGGAATAACTTATGTGTGATCAGAATTCCAGAACAGGAAGAATCACATAAAACCACAGAGAAAATTCTCAAAAATTTGTTGGAAGAGAATTTCCCTAATATGAAAGATGAGAAGATGTCTAATCCATAACTACAATGAACCCCAAAAAGGATAGACCCCAAAAGAAAATCCCAAGATATAATCAAACTCACCAAAAAAAAGAAAAAGAAAAAAATCCTGAAAGCAGCATGGGAAATGCAAAAATGCTACCTACAAAAGGCAATCAATAAGGCTAAGCTCTGATTTCTTGGCAGAAAGAAACAAATCACCAATCAAGAATTATATACCCAGCAAAACTGTCCCCCAAATATGATGGTAAAATTAGGACATATCAAAATAAACAGAAATTAAGGGAATTTATTAAAACCAGACTGACCATGCAAGAGATGATAAAGGGAATCCTTTGGACAGCAACAGCAGACAACAACTAATTATTAACACACATGATAACATAACCCAGAAACAACCCAGTTATGGAAGTATCTAAAGTAAAAAAGACTTACAAAACTGTAAACAGGGAACTAGAGACATCAATCGTAAATTAGGAAAACTACATAGCAAAAAGTGGGAATAAATAGCACAGGTATAGAACTTCCAAATGGTGAGGAAATCAAGACAATGGAGAGACAGAACACACTATTCTAAACTTGGGAAGAAAACTATAAATCACAGGGTAACTAAAAGAAAATGAATAAACCTTTACATCAAAATAAAAAAGAGGACAAGCACAAATATTTAGTAAATACTACAACAACAGAAATGAATGACATGATAGCACAATTCACAAAATTAGCTCAGTGCAGAAAATTATATGGAACAAAGAAATCAACAACACCACAATAAATAAATAGGAAAATGACAGCAATAAATTCATACTTGTCAATAAATACTCTGAATGTAAATAGATTAAATGAACCACTCAAGAGATGGAGAGTTGCAGACTGGATAAGGAAACATAACCCATTAATATGCTGTCTACAAAAGACTCACTTTAGACACAAAGACAAAAATAAACTAAAAATCAAAGGCTGGAGAAAGATGTAACAAGCAAATGGCAATCCAAAAAGACCAGGAGTGGCAACAATAATTTCTGATAAAATAGACTGTAAGACAAAAACCACCATAAGAGACAAGGAAGGACATTGTATAATGATTAAAGGATCAGTTGAATAAGAGGACATAACAGTAATAAATATCTATGCACCCAGTGAAAAAGCTCCAAAATACATAAATCAGACTTCCATGGAAATTAAAAGACAAATAGATGACTCCACAATAATGAAAAGAAAAAACCACTGCCATCGAGTCAATTCTGATTCATAGTGACCTCCATTGGGTTTCTGAGGTGGTAAATCTTTATGGAAGTAGATTGCCCCATCCTTCCACAGAGTGGCTGGTGGGTTTGAATTGCCAACCTTCTGGTTAGCAGTCAACTGCTTTAGGCACAGCATCACCAGAGCTCCTTCCACAGTAAAAGTAGAAGACTTTAATACACCACTTTCAATCAAAGAACAACTGGAAAGAAACTCAACAAAGACACAGAAGAACTAAATACAATCAACCAACTTGACCTTATAGACATCTACAGAGCACTTCATCCAATAGCAACACACTATACATTCTTTTAAAATGCACATGGAACGTTCTCCAGGATAGACCATATGTTAGGCCATAAAGCAAGCCTCAATGAATTTACAAACATTGAAATATTGCAAAGCATCTTCTCATTCACAATAAAATAAAATTAGAAATCAAAAATAGGAAGATCAATGGAAAAAGAACAAACACATGAAAACTGAATTACACTCTCCTTAAAAACTATAAGTTAACAGAAGAAATAGAAACAGAAAATTAAAAATTTCCTTGAATCCAAAGAGAATGAAAACACAACATTCCAAAATCATTGGGACACAGCAAAAGCAGTGACCAGAGGGAAATTTATAGCAATAAATGCAGACATCAAAAAAGAAGAAAGAACAAAAATCAACACCTTAACCCAACATCACCAAGTATTATAAAAAGAGCAACAATAAAAAGCCTATAGCCACCAGAAGAAAGGAAATAATAAAGATTTGAGCAGAAATGAATGAAACAGAAAATAGACAATAGAAAAAAGATGAATAAAACTAGAACTTTGTTCTTTGAAATGATTAATAAAATCTACAAACCACTGGCAAACTTGACAAAGGAAAAGAAGAAGAAGATAAAAATAACACAAATAAAAAATGAAGTGAACAATATTACTTCACAACCAACCAAAATAATAATGATAATATCAGGATACTATGAAGAACAGTACTCCAACAAATTTGTAAACCTGGAAGAAATAGATAGATT